TATTTTAAATGTATTTTAATGAATATTATTTTTATAGCAAGAACAAAATACAGTATGTTCAAAAGAAAGATTGGTGGAAACATGCCTCGACGAGGGCGCTGGGTACATTTTCGGAAAGAAGTCCGCATTACGCAGAGGCAATGCGGGTAGCCGGGGGCATATTGGCGGACGTGTCGTCGCAACCAAATCGCAAAACGGAGTGCACCAGTACGAACAATTTCCAGTAAATTTAAGTGACTTATTAAAATATTATCCGACCTGTCCACCCGACGCATTTATAAATATAAAAGAATTTTATCAAAACCCGGCCCTAAATAGATTAGACGAAAACGATAAAAAAGTTAAAGTAACATTACGTAATTGGTGTACAACTATTCGGGACTGGGATATATTCGACTTTAATACTTATTATCATACATCCGGCGTAAAACCATATTTTAATGCTTATGCACGAATGACGAATAATTTATACTACGATGTAGAAAAATCAATAGAAATAGCGAATAAATTATTATTTTATCAATTTAACAATGACGAAAACGAAATTAAATCATTTTTAACAGTACTTTATAATATAATCGATAAAAAAATTCCAAAATTAAATTCATTGTGCATATATAGCGAACCGTCAGCGGGTAAAAACTTTTTTTTTGATGCAGTAGCTTCTTTTTTTTAAAATTATGGTATGTTCGGTACCGCGAATAAAAATAATAATTTTACATGGGCTGACGGTGCAGGAAAAAGAATTGTTATTTGGAATGAACCTAATTACGAAACTCATCATATTGAAAAAATGAAAGAATTATTGGGTGGTGATACAACTCGTGTGCACGTAAAATATAAAAATGATCAACCGCTTCAAGGCCCACCTATCATTTTATTAACAAATAATTATTTATACATAAGTAATGATAAATTGTTTGCCGACCGTCTACGTACGTATAGGTGGCAATCTGCTCCGTTTTTAAAACATTATAAGAAGAAAATAAATCCATTGTTTTTTTTTAAATTATTAGTAACTTGGGGAATTGTGTCCGATAATATTGTTGTCGTATAATATATATTTTTTTTTTAATTGGGGTTATTAGTTTAATAGTGTAATTGAATGTTTATCTTTTTTTTTTTTACATATTGTACCTTGTAATTTGATATCTATTATATATATATTTGTTATATGATATATAAATGAACAAACACTTTTTATTACCATGTTTATTATAAATAAAAACATTATATTATTATTACATTACACAAAAGTTAATTATTTACCAAATATTTATTAGGTACATAAAAAAAAGTATATAGTTACATAATTAAAAAAAAACTATCGACGGCCGGTCGCCGCCGTCGTTGCTGTTGCATTAATTGGTGTAATAAAGCGATTATCAAAACTAGACAATGATTCATGATAATAATAATCGTCCGTAGTATTAAAGGTGTATAGTGTATTTTCTGGTAAAACATGAGGTTCGTCGAACTGAGTAAAATGATTTGGAAACCCGAATCCAATTTCCATTTCAGTAGATATGTCCCATGTACATTCGACGTCAGTATAATCTTGAGGTACAACAGTATTCGACGTAGTTGTCATTTTATGTACAGGGTATATACCTATATGTAAACTAGGTTGTAGGCCATCTCCTTGACTTTTATTTATACCTCGCTGTACATATTGTGACATTTCAATTGGCTGATACATGCGATTTTTATTATGAAATATACGTTGAAAATTAGCAGTATTCAATTGTGTCATTTCGACACTTTGATGTTTTTCTGTATTTTTTTCAGCGTTTAAAATTGTAACCCGATTAACTTCTCCGGACGTCATACTTGCTATTCCAAAGGATTGCAATGTAGGTGAATCGTTATTGAAAATTCCAGCGTATTTATTGTTCCAAGGTGACGTTAAATACGATATTTTTGGTGAATAATTATACGAAAAAATCGTTTTCCCTATGGCATTACTTGCGTCCATTTTAGTAATAAACTCATTAATTTTTGGCCATCCAACAGTATTCTTTAATGCTTTATTTGCAACCATACAATAATAATTATTATAAAATAATGGCATATTACAATATGATGCCGGCATAATATCTGTATTAGGCGTTTTTGAATCAGATCCATACATATACTTAGATATTTCTTTATGAAAATCCTCCGTAATAGTTTCGACATTTGTTGGTATCATTCCCGACTTTTGAGACGAAAATATAATTTTTTTATTAACACCACGCGTATATTTGTTTAATGTACTGGCTATACAAGCAAATTTATTTTGATTTAATGTGGCTAACGTTGTTGTCGATGCGTTTGTTTCGAAAGCAGTACGTGGATTACGCATAACTATTGTACATTTTACATTTTTTATATACGATCCTCTAGGTAGCATATTAAATTCGGAATGATTTAAATAAAAATACGGTTTGTCTACTGGTATGGACATTAAAGAAGTTGTTCCAAAAACGCAATTGCCATTGTTAGAGTGTTTGATAGGAACCCAGGCCAGTCCGTAGGATATAAAAGTATGATTTTTTCTAAATACCAATTTACATCCTCCTTCGTTATTGATCGGCCGAGGTATAACAGCGTTTTCAAGACTAGGATTCCCAGTATCTGCGTCCATAGCTGAACCATCCCCCGTGCCAGGTAATGACGGATTCGGTTTGGATTTCTTCGACGGACCTGCCCCACTATCATCGCCCGTTCTTCTGGTACTTGAGGAAACATTACTCATATTACTTGAATCGAATTCGTCACTTGTATACGGATCGTCCAAATTTTCAAAAGGTGGACTCGTAATACTAGTATCTGTTTCTGAAATGGTATCCTCGACTTCTTGCGATGTGTCAACTCCTCCACCTAAAATATATAAAGGCAAATTACGTCTTGATCTACCGATATTATATTGTTTTATAGCATATTTTTTTTGACTAGAATTTAAAGAATTCCAATTTAATCTATCAGGTGGAGGAGGACCTTGCCATCGGTGTGGCATTATTACGTACCTTTTTTTCTAGAAAGTTTTTTCGTAAACCAATCAATTTCCTTTAGGCCCTCGACCGGTTGCGGATATATATTTGTATGTATGCTGTCTTCGAATGTACGTTTTAATACTAATCCGACTTGAGTAGCTAAGTCACCAAAGTATTTATCGTTAGTCCAGCGATTATTACTGTTAGCTATTGCTTTAAAATCTGATTTTCTTACGTCGTCGATATTTATTTCTTTTTGTGCAGATAAATTATGATATTCTACGTCGTGTTCTAATGTAATCCAATCTTGAACTGTTTGTGGTAAATTTATAGCGTTAAACTTATTATTTTTATCGGCAACTTTATTTCCCGGTCCTGTAAAATCACTACCGAACCACGTTATACCACCGTTGCTTTCGGACATACTGATTAAAAATTACAATTACAATTACATTAAATAACAATTATTGTGTTCATTTGTATATATGTATATGTAAAAGTTTTATTTGCATATATACATATGTGTGCTATGGCGGGGAAATTCGTGGCTAGGTACTTGCTCGAAATATATTTACAATATATTTCCGACGACTACTACTACGACGACAGGGGGGGGTACCCACCCATCCTCAACCGCATCTATACATGCCATGGCCATGCTTTCAGCGGCCGGCGTATGATGCGTAGGACTTGTATTTAAAGATTGATGTTTTATTACTGACAGACGTTTTTGAAAATTTTAGGGATCTGTGTTTAACTACATATCAACTGGACCCTGCATTTTACTACACAGCGCCAGGCTTCAGCTTTGATTGTATGTTAAAATACACATCAATGAAGCTTGAGCTACTCTCCGAGAATGATATGTTGTTAATGTTCGAGGAAGGTAAATATTTCGCGATTATTTTTACTATAAAATTTGATTACTTATTCTGATAGGAATCAGAGGTGTATTGATTCAAGCTAGTATGAGATACGCTAAGGCAAACCACGAAAAAACACCTGATTATAACGTAGATAAAGAAAAATCATGGATGTATCAAGATTGTAAGTATAAATATATATATATTTTTTTTGGTATTATTAAAATTATATTTTAGATAATAATCTCTACGGATGGGCGATGTCACAGTACATGCCATATGGTGGTTTTAAGTGGGTCAAGCCTTCGCTAGATGGTCTAAGTGATTTAAACGAAACATCTCCTATCGGTCGAATATATGAAGTTAACGTCAAGTAACCGGTCGAACTACATGATAAACATAATGCCTTACCCTTCCTACCTCATAACAGTGTTCCATCAGGTTCTAAAGTAAAGAAACTCATGGCAACACCAGAATCGAAAAAAAATTATGTAAGTCGAAAAAGTATTTTTTTTTTTTTTACATCTTTACCGATTTTAACATATTAATTTTACTATAGGTGCAATGTGCATAGAGTAGTTCAATTTAATCAGTCAGCTTGGCTGGCTGAATACATCAATCTCAATACAGAGTTGCGTAAGGAGGCAAAAAACGACTTTGAGAAGGATTTCTTTAAGCTGATGAACAATGCTATTTTTGGTTTGTTAATATAAATCATAACTAATCCTCGTTATATTAATTTCATTTGTCTAGGAAAGACGATGGAAAGCGTAAGAAAAAGAATTAACATTGAACTGGTGTCTAGTGAACAGCGACTACAACAACTTATCAACAAAACAACCTTTAAACACTGTACTACATACAACGAAAACGTACATGCGGTTACGTTAGAAAATAAAATCATTAATTTTTGTAAACCTATTTATATTGGTAAATATTCACTTTAAATTGCATATTGTTAGATTTTAATATTTCAATCGATTACAGGTTTTGCTATGCTAGATATTTCAAAGACCTTGATGTACGATTATCACTAAAACGTGATGAAAAAACACTATGGCGATAAAATTGAGCTGATGTACACTGACACCGGTAAATTAATAAATTAAAAAAAAAAAAAAATAGTGATATATCATTAATAATATAGTTATCGTAGATTCACTGGTATACTACATTCAGACCGATGATTTTTACAATGATCTGGTGAATAATGCTAACTTGCTCGATCGAATGGACACGTCAAATCTACCCCAGGACCATCCGTGCTACATTGCAGAGAGAAAAAAGATTCCCGGGCTATTTTCTGATGAAACAGATGGGTGCATTATAAGAGAATTTATAGCCCTTCGAGCAAAGTCCTATGCATACATTTTGGATGACGAAGAAAAAATCAAAGCGAAAGGCATCCGAGGTCATGTTATTAAAAATCACATGACATTTGAAAATCATAAAAAGTGTTTATTCGGTGACACTGACTTGGATTTCTACCATCAAAATTTCTCCATTCGATCATTCAAACACCAACTTAATACTATAAAAATGAACAAATTGACATACAACAGTTTTGATGACAAGAGGGTTATCATGGAAGACATAGTGCATACTTTAGCTCATGGACATTACTCCACTAAGTAAGATTAAAAACAATTTCTTAAATTTTTATACTTATAATATTTTTAATTTTATAGGGAAGATGATTGGACTGAATCTGATTTTGACGTAGAAGCTGGGGGACGTGAATGGACAGATTTTGACAGAGACTTTATGAGAGACCTTCTTCGGCACATGACTGATTAATTTTAAATATCTGAATATAATTTGTTATATATTTTTATTACCATGTTATATACTTGAGATAGATTAATATATTTTGTAAATACCATGTGCATTTTAAATATCACTTGAATAATTTGTATATGTAATCTATAACCTTGTATATATATTATATATATATTGTATTGTAAATATTTTAAATATCACTTGAATAATTTGTATTATTGTAATCTATAACCTTGTATATTATGTTTTCACATATATTATGATGCCATAAAAATTAAAAAAACAATGTTAAAATATAAATATGTTTATTGTTATATATTTAAGAATTATTTACAAACCATTTTCTTATAGCAAATACTTTATAAAATGTACATTGTTTAGGATTAAATTCCATATGGAAAATACAACAAGGTAGAGTTTCATCATCACATATTTGATCCAAACGAGGGCAGCCCAAATCTTCGATGTTGATGAGTGTGACGTGTGGTATATACTCCATAAGAACTTGTTTTTTCTGTTCGCCTTTGACGTAAATGCAACCAAACTTTAATGAATTCAATATTATACCGAGTTCTTCATACTCGATATCACCGTATTCTATAGCTAGTTGATGGTAATTACGTTCCAACCACTTGTTGGTTTTACGACTCTTATTGTCCTGCATCGAGTTTGAATGTTTAAAAATCCAGTGCTGGGTCGCCCATGTTTCTGTGTTTACTATAGACATTTCTTTAATCATGTATTTATTGTTGACACCAAGTACACATTGCATGTCCAAGATGGCTGAAGACATTATGGCTTGTCTTTATAATGAGTTTCAATAGTATTTAGACGACTCAGAATAGCTGGTATTATGTTTTTCAACACTTCTGTACTTTCTTTGATTAATTGTAATGATACTTCACCTCTTGTCATATTATGCTCAGTTATTTGTATACATGTCAATTGTATCGCTTCTACTTGTTCTTCTTGAATTTGATTTATGATTTTCTTCAAGTAAATGTTCGATTTTATCTAATTTATTGACAACCCGGCGAAAATCAGTATGAGTGGTAGCACACCGCCTTTTTTCGGAATATTTATTGTTCGTGGAACTTTTGTCTTCTTAGTTTTGAATGTTTTTTGCGCGACGGCTACACATTTACACTAATCTTAAAAGTTTCCTTGGTGTGACAGTACACTACCTTAAAGATATTTCTCTCAAATCACATTGTTTGGCGGTTGCAGAACTGAAAGAAAGACACACTGCACAATATTTAAGTGACATTATTCAAAAAATTCTTTCAGACTGGAAAATTGATAACAGTAAAATTGTTACTGTTGTAACGGACAATGGTGCAAATGTAGTTGCTGCCGTTAGTAAAACATTTGGTAAGAGCAGACATACCCCATGTTTTGCTCATGCCATTAATTTAGTAGCAACGCATACAGTTGGTCATCAAAATATAAAACCTATCATATCAAAAGTTAGAGATATTGTAAAATGGGTGAAAAATAGTGTCATAAACAGCGACCAATTGAGAAAAAAACAGGCTGAAGCTGGAGTTCCTGAAGGAATATTCAAAAAATTAATTTTATACGTTGCAACACGATAGAATTCGATTTTTTCATGATTCCAAGATTTTTAGAAATGTTGTCTTTTCTAAGCCCAATTCTACTAAACGATATAACTGCGCCTAGTATGCCGACTGCCATAGAAATGAATATCCTTCGACAACTGCTTGAGTTACTACAACCATTGGAGTTTGTCACAAAAGAATCCTCTGGGGAAAATTACATAACCATTTCAAAAGTAATTCCCATGATTAGCGGCCTACTAAAACAACTGGCCCAAATCCAGCCAAGATTTGATGTGGGACTGATTGAGCAAGTTAAACCGATCGCCATTGCCACGATTTTGGATCCAAGATTTAAAAATCTTCATTTTAGCGATCCAGTCGCTTATTCAAGTGCGATGGCAGAACTTAGAAGACTATCGAAGCCAGATATATCATCCAGTGAATCGGAAGGGGAGGTTACCACTTCTTTAGAAAATGAAGAAAGTTATGATTTTTGGGCTCACCATAAAATGTTAGCTCACGGCCAAAAAAAGAAAAAATCATCTTCATTTGCAAATGATGAATTATCTTTGTATCTTTCAAACCCCGTATCTCCACTGAAGTCCAATCCTCTAGAGCAGCGTTTCTCAAACTGTGGGTCGCGACCCTCTGGGGGGTCGCGAGAAATTTTTTTAATTATACAAATTGTAAGAAATTTATGTATAGACTATAGAACTATAATAGAAGTATAAAGTAATATAAGAATATTATTGCGGGAATTATTATGATGGGTATTTTTGGTACGTCGTTATCGCAAAAATATTTCGATAAAATATGACGATAAAGTCGGTACTCGGCAACTATATAGTTGTCTGTAAAATTTCAGTTAGTCGTTACGGCGTCGTTAGTTGTTACGCTGTATCATCACCCGCTTGTAATTTTAGTTAATGTGTCGTGCACGTGTATGAGTGTGTTGTACCGCGTGCGTTCGTTTTAGTGCGATCGATTGCTTGGTGTGATTAAAGCTCTATTTCTGAGACAATTATTTATTTACAAAAATTGTATGATGGACAAATGGTTGGTAAATAAGCGAAAAATTGAAACTAATGAAAACGAACCTTCAACTTCGGTTTTAAAACGTAAAAAAAAAACAAGAAAGTATGATTCAGAGTACCTAAAAATTGGTTTTTCTTGGAAAGAAGATAATGATGAACAACGACCACAGTGTGTAATTTGTTTTGAAGTACTTGCAAACGAGAGTATGAGTCCGAATAAATTACGTCGGCATATTGAGACTAAGCATCCTGATCTCATAGATCAACCACTCTCTTATTTCGAAACAAAGTTGAAAGAACTAAACACGTCCAAAACAAAAATTACAAAGTTCACCAAGGCCAATGAAAAAGCTATGCACGTTTCGTACCTGATAAGTTTACGAATCGCAAAAGCTGGCAAACCACATACTATCGGAGAGAATTTAGTATTGCCAGCAATAAAAGATACAGTTGAAGTAATGTTTGGTGACAAGTTCTCAAAAGACGTCGAAAATATACCACTATCAAATGATACAGTTACACGTAGAATTAATGACATGTCTCAATGGACAGAAAATCGGTTAAGGGTTAATTGAAAGAGCCAGTAAAAGTAGATTTTTCTCACTACAATTAGATGAGTCTACTGATGTCCAAGGTTTATGTCAGCTGCTAGTATTCATACGTTATATATGGAACAACGGACCTCATGAAGATATGTTATTTTGTGAACCAATTATTCGAGGTACTAGTGAGGAAATATTCAATACACTCAATACTTATATCAATAAAAAAGGTCTTGATTGGTTAAAATGTGTTGGATTATGTACCGACGGTGCTAGAGCTATGTGTGGTAAAAATAGTAGTGTTATAACTCGAATGCTTGAAGTTAGTCCGAATGCATCATGGACTCACTGCAAAATTCACAGGGAAGTTTTAGTATCAAAAAATCTGCCAGATAACTTGAAAATTGTATTGAACACTTCTGTGAAAATAGTCAATTTCATCAAAACAAGGCAACTGCAATCACGATTATTTGAAAAGTTGTGTGAAGAGATGGGAAATTCTCACAAATCTATTCTTTTGCATACTGAAGTACGTTGGCTATCAAGAGGAAAAGTATTAACAAGACTTGTAGAACTCCGCGAAGAAGTTGCACTGTTTCTTAAAGAAAAAACTGATTTGGTAAAATCGTTGCACAATGAAGATTTTATTTTGAAGCTAACGTATTTAGCCGACATATTTGCGAAATTGAACGAACTAAATTTATATTTACAAGGCACAGAAGGAGCCGATATATTTGCGGTCCATGAAAAAATTAGAGGTTTTATGAAAAAACTTATTTTATGGCAAAAAAACATTGAAAAACAAAATTATGATTGTTTTGAAACATTTCAAACTTTCATAACCGAAAATAATATAAAAGTTCCTGTTGACATAATTAGCCAAATCACTTTGCATTTAATTTCATTGAAAGATAACTTTAACTTTTACTTCCTTGAAGAAATGGAAAAATGTCAAAAAAATAAATGGGTTGTGAATCCGTTTCAGGACGCTATATTAACAGGGATATCAACAAAAACTGACGAAGAACTCATTGATATATCTGAAGATAAATCATTAAAACTTAAATTTAACCGAAATAATTTGATTGAGTTTTGGCTATCAGCTCAACAGAAATGTCCAACTCTTTCAACTGAAGCTTTAAAGGTATTACTACATTTCTCATCATCATACTTGTGTGAAGTTGGATTTTCGGCCATGGTGGGCATCAAAAACAAACACAGAAACAAGCTCCAACTATCGCACTCCTTGCGTTTGAAAGTAGCTAAAATTGATGTCGAAGTTGGTGCTGTTATCAAAAGTAGCAGGAAACAAGCTCATTCATCTCATACGCCTAATTATTAATTAATAAGTGTCATATTATTATTATAAGTATATTATTATAATAATTATTATTATTTTAAAGTAGTAAATAAATAATAAAAAAATGTATTTTTGAAAATACTTTTTTGATTCTGTAAATGTAAAATTATGGGGGTCGCGATAGATTTTTGGAAAAAAATTTGGGTCGCGGTCCTAAAAATATTGAGAACCACTGTGTTAGTCTATAATATTAGGCATTACTGCACATAAGTACAATAGTAGGTTAGGTAATAAAATATACAATCTATACCCAAAGGCCAAAGGCATAATATAAATATGAGCTACAGCAATTTGAAACATGAGTAAGGTGAGAGAAAAACCATCCAGTGAATGGACTTCCTTCTCTTTAAGAGGAACCTTTGTTTAACCCAATGAATACAATTTTTTGGCAATGGTTGTACACTACTTAAGCAACTAACATATTTATGTATATATGAACAGTTCAGTTAAAAGAAAATTAAGTATTCACATATTATTGAACCACATAAATATATAATTATTTAATCTATGGAACATTTTAATAGGTATACCATTTACTATTTGATACTCACTAGTTTTTCTTGTTTTGAATCTAAAATAAAAAATACGTAATTTTAACTATAGGTTATATGTGGCACCTACATTAATTATAAATACCCATTTTAAGAAACAATTAGTTTAAAACAACTTGTTTTTTTAAATAATTTATTATTTGAGTAAATTGTAGGGTTAAATCAATTATCAAAAGCAACCATCATGTTATTTCATTATCTTATTCGATATTTAATCAAAGAAACAATTAGTTTAAAACAACTTGTTTTTTCAATTATCAAAAGCAATTATCATATTATTTCATTATCTTATTCGATATTTAATCATTGTTTTAATATAAATTGTTATTATTTATTTTTATTGTATTTTGGTGGTAAATCATATCAATATTAATTATCGTAATAAATAATATATTATGCGCATATCAATCGCTTGAAAAATAACGAAGTCCACACGCATGCGCAGATCAATAGTTAAATGAGCTGGCGTAGCATGTTTTAAAATTTCGCTTCCGGGCACGGTATAGACCCCTGGCACTAATAGGAATTAACACATGAAGCATAGGCCGAACGAAAAATCGTGGCGGCCATCTTCCCAACAGGCCAACAGTGTGACCATTCTGTAAAACTATACTTATTGTTTTCAATTAGTATACAATATAATTATTAGTATTTAATTAATATTAAAATAAATTAAAATACATTCCTTGGATACCACTTACTTACTTACATACTTACTTACTCTATGCTCACATATATGCTTGTAGGATTAACATTATATTATCATTATATTATCATTTACATTATATTAGGTTTTTATAAAAAAAATCTCAAACCAGCCACAAATTAAAACCAAACACTACAAAAAATATAACACAACAGTTAATTAGTATACATCTTGTATTTAACAATTATTAGACATGCTTTTCACAATTTGATTAGTATCATATTTAAAAGTTTATATACGTTTTTTTTTAGTTACACAAACAAATAATTATTAGTAATAAGTACAGACATTTAAACAAACAAATACTGATAATTACAGACATTTAACATTAATACAGACCGATAACTTAGGCGCTAGTCTCAAGTTTCATTTTGAATCATTTTTGTAAAAATCAGTTAAAAAGTTACTATTGGTTGATTGATCATCAATTTTAAAATAGTGTTTTAAAAACATATTTCGAGTTGACTTCAACAAATGGGGAGGATCAAAAATATATATAATTATTTGTTCGTTTACATTAAAATATGGCCTGCTTGGGCTTACATAAACTTTTCGACTAAAACTCACAAAATTTGAACCTTGATCCGTTATAAACGCTTTAACATTTAATGAAACATTTTGAAGTTTGGTAATTGTGGAAAATATTATATCATACAAGTCTTTTACTTCACAACTACTTGAAACTAAAAAATAGACAGTTGGTTGTTTCCAATTTAATTTAATACTATGAATCATTAAAACCAACGCATATTTAGCTGGTGAATACTGTTTTGTCGAATTTGTTTGATGAAATCCTATAATTTCATCTTTTTTTAAAGAGAATAAAATTAATGGGATTTTAATGCCATTTCATCTGCACATAAAATACAGTCACGTGCATCACTATCAAAATTAGACATTTTAAATTGTAAAAATTGAGAAAGAAAATCATTTAACCCTGGATTAAGTTCATATTTACTAGTCACTCTGCTTAAAGTCCTAATAGTAGGTAAACTAAGGTTACTTTTTAAAAACCTATACACACTTGGTCCTAAGAAGTAAATAGTTAATGCAAACTGCTTAAAACTATTTAAATACCTGTAGCCTTGAGGTTTCCTTTTCTTACATACCATGTGGGACTTCACTATTGCCAAAACAGTCGGTGCCAGATGTTTTTCACAAGAATTCAAAAAACTTTCAGCCGTGCCATATTCACTTAACTGATTACTCAAATGAAGGACTGTTTTTCTGCTTTTCTTCGAACTTTTCTTTCTATGTTTAATTGTTCTCGTAATAGATTTTTCCTAGGCGTTTTATTAGACCAGGATTTAAGAGTTTGCACATATTTTGATAAACCTAAAAATGATGATTTTTAATATTAGAATAAAATAAAGAAGTAAAAAATTAATTAAATACTAACTTGAACAAGATCTAGATGAATCAAATGAAGATGATGGTGTAAGATTCAAGTGTACATCATCAAAAACATCATTTGTATGTAATGCAGAAGTCACAAGAAGTCTAGGCGTATCCTGTACAGTTGATGATAGAGGATCAAAATGTACACCATCAGAAGAATCATCTTTGTCCAATTGAGATGCTAAGACTTCAACAATAAAGGAAGTTGACGATTTAGTTTGGGTTGAAATGGTATTTTCAAAATTTATCTGCCTTGGAAGAAGTCCCTGGGTTTTATCTAAACAAATGTCAAATACTTAAAAAAACATTTAAAACCAATATAAGAAGTATGGTATGTAATAAAATATTAGATTGTATTATTTTCTAATTCAAAATTATCAATTTAGTAATTTCAAGTGTAAACCACCGTATACTTATGGGTAGGCATACTAAAAAGTAACAAAATAACAATACATTCTTAGACAGTATATTATTATTCCTTACCAATAAATAATACAGGTATAGTATGTGGCTGAAGTCTGTTTTTTAAATCGTTCAGGAACATATTTTCTTCAAAATGCTTCCCACAGACGCTATAACGTTTTTTAATAACATCATGTATTGAAATTGATAGACCACAATTTTCAATCCATTTTACACATCTTAAATCAAATAGAATATGGTTTGTTTTTAATATAATTAACAGTTATTTTGATTAGTATTAATTGCGTACCTGATAGAATCATTTTTAGGAAAAGTGAAAAAACTATAATCCTGATTTTGAGATATTTTATTACCACAATTGTTTACCACACATTGAACAGTCGATATTTTCTTATTATTCATTATCGGTTTTAAAGTTTAAACTTGCATCAATAAAAGAAATAAACAAACACACAAAAAGACAAAGTTAAATTGCTGTTGAACAAGTAAAAACTTTAAAGATTTAAAATTTAATGTTTTGAATAAATGTAAACACGTTTATCAAATGAATAATGATAACTGATAAGAATTTTTCCTGTTAGGAAGATGGCCGCCAATCCGTCTCGATTTTGTTTACATCCAGAGTGTCCTTTCTGATTGTATCTATTCTGTGGTTATACTGTTATCAGTTAAAAAACTGGTATCTGATAAAAATAATTGATATTTGATATTATTCGTGATTTAAAGTTAGGAAAAAAAACGTAGCGAAAGCATAATTTTGTTACAGGTTTTTTAGTGCGTACTGCCTTTCATAATGTGCATTACCATTCCTATATATTAATTATTATTACGAAATACGAATCAACATGATAAATGAAAACGCAAAAAGAAACTGTTCACACAAACATCCTGCTCGGTAAGTATTTCATATTAAAAATATGTTAAGAAAAAAATTAACTTTTGTTATTTCATTTTCATCTTGATATGTAAATACCACTCAATTAAATCATTGATTACTTCATTATGGAGTAACTAATAAATTATAACTGCTGGGGAAAATCTTTAACTTCAGCTGTTAATGGACAGTTATTACCTATGGTAAACAAAATATATCTTTTTAAATACTGATTCGGATTATTCTATGTAGCAAATTTCCAAACATTTCAATCACATTTTAATTTCAGTAATTTAACTTCATCAACATTTTGTTATTTGCTTTGGAGAGGTCAACAACCACAAATACCATATTGATTGTACCTTTTATAATGGATTGATCGTTATTGAACCGTCTAGTGAGTATATTTTTAAACATTAAACATAAATTAAACAAATCAAAACACTAAATGCCGTCCCACTTTTAAATAACAGACTGCGGACTGTCAGTTATGCATAAATTAAAGTAAAAGCATAACTGGTGTGGTTACAAGTTGTTTTTTTATATAATGTCAGGTATTTTACATACCTATGTAAATGAGTGTTTGAATTAACTTACTGTAACAAGACTAGCCTGAATAAGCTAATGCAATTAATTAAATCCTGTACCTTTTAATGAAAAGTAATTTAAACATTGTTTCAGTTACTTTTTTTTTTTGTTTCTTAACTTACTCGGTATGTATTTGATTTTCACTAACTGTTGAAACAATCAACTATCATTAATTATAGCATTTTGACAAAACTGTTATTTTTGTTTAACAGGTACCTACTGTTGTGTGGAATATTTTCTTAGCATCTAAGAGATATCTTATAAAGTAATCTAAAACCTGTGGTATTATTATTATTAGATAGGTAGATTATTGTTTCAAATAACATCTTATAGTTACTGTTTAAATATTTCATAATTTCTTAAGTGTTCTTATTCCACACATACCAGACATTTGTTAACAATAACCTTACCTAAACTCTATATTTAGTATTTCTGTATATTGTTTTAATTCCATCATTTCTGACAAAATAAACAAAAGAAATCAATATTATCATAATTAATAATTCTGTCTTCTTTAGGGATGCAATTGACGGCTATCCAGCGACAACACCGAGAACACGACACCCATTCTACAAATGAATCATCCGGTTGACAATGGTGCCTGTCTGAGTGCTAGTTACAGTATAAGCATATGTTTGTCATGTCTTCGGAATTCTCTAATAGATAGGTCTTTAAATATTCTCTATAAGTGTTAGGATCGAACTCTAAAACTTGGAATTGTCCATAAATTTAAATGCGTAATATATAATATGAACTCTACAATTAAATGCATAATTTTGTTTTGGAACATTTTCAAAAGGACATGGAATCCGTGTTAATGATGGACATTCATGTGTGCCGTCACCGTAGATGACATCTGATTTCAATATTTTAAATACTCTATTGAAATGATCTTTTGATGCTCGACTCTTTGTATCATATGGACTAACCGGGTCCATGATAAACAGTATAAGACTCTTTTGTGTTGAAATTTATAAAGACTATAATCCAATGTCTCCCAATCAATCATAGCAGGATAACCATACTATTCTGATTGAAAGTAATTTTGTTATGCACTTCCCCAACTACTCTTTTTTCCAATAACCATGCAACATCATTGCATGATAAAATGTGTCTTTTTTCTAAGCGCAGATTAAAAGCGTATGGCAACAAACAAATATCTATAACAAAGTTACACAGCCAATTTTCTCCAGACAATGTATCAAAATCTGGAAAATACAGGTCGTCCAAGATGTTACAATTTGTATTACTAGATAATAAGTAACTATATTTTACAACTAGATAATGTTTATTTTTCGGCAACTTAATTGGTTTATAGTACGTCAAATCTTTAGGGAGCATATTGTCGTATAAATCTATAGATTTCACTGGTAGTCGAAACGGAGATTTATGACTGCCAGGAGTTGAAACAGATTTCATTAAACAATCATCCGACAATGGCTTACTTAAATCACGGACAACCACGTCGTTGGTGGGCTTGTAGCGAGCTGTGACTATGTTTAAATATTATAAATAATCACTCCAATGAGTCCCTCGGGTAGTTTTAAATAAATATACATATATATATATATTAGTTACAGGAGGCCTCCCACACAGCACTGCAATATTTATTTAACATTAAACCAACATTTAAATTTAAAAGTAAGAAAATTTTTTAGTTGTATCAACATTTAAATTACATTTGATATAAGTTATTAAATGTTAATTAACCGCTATAAAACATTTTTTGAACCAATTTTAATTATTTATAATAAGTTTAAAAACCAAGGTTGTATACAAATNGATCTACAATTTCCGGAAGCAAACAGTCCAAATAAAATCTACAAAGAACAATGTAAAATGATGTAATATATATATAATTCAAAATTATAATAGGTATTCATATAGTTTAGTGTTTAAACATTTTATATTCTCACGTTTTTAATTTATCGACCATTCTCGTAATCCAAAAATCATTTTCATATTTTATTTTTTCTATTGAAATCCACTGAGGAGAATATATAATAAAATAACATGTTTCTCTTTTTGAAATGTGAAGTTGACCTTGCACTTGATAAAAATAATTATGATTATTTTTTAATTTTAATTGACCGTTCTCGATTTTACAGTAAGGTAACTAAACAAAATTATAATTACATTTATAGTTATATTTAAAAATTGTGAATGATATATGATATTAGTATATATATATATTATATAGTATCAGGCATACTTTGCCACTTTCGACAGCCTCGATTGCATTTTGGCTGTCTTTCGCTGAGTATGGGGCCTTAATTTCTACAATTGTTTTTTCGTCAATAATTCCATCTACATTATCCAATCATACATTACAGTATTATACATTTATACATATGTTATTAGTAAGCGTATAAAATATAAATAATTTTTATGAATAATTATTACAAACCGGGACTTGCAGCTAGGAATGCAAATTCTTCGTCTATAAATAAACCACTAGGTTTAATCTGAATTCCTGCATACATTTCTTCAAACTTCATTTTAGCAACCCCTTCCATATCTCTACCATATTGAATTGCCCTAAATTGTATTTTTATTTAAAAACGCTCAACAATTATAATTAATTGGTATTTAGTTATGTTCTTACTTAGAGGTGAAACTAGAGTATAAAATTGAATACACTGTACTTTTACAACTAGTATTTGCACGCATCTTACAAATACGACCGAAATTACTAGCTGTAAGTCTGCAAAGCCTTTCACGTTTCCAAGTATCATTAAAAGCTTGATCTCTAGTAACTCGTTCAATTTCATAACGATCGACTTCGCCTAGTTTTCTAAAAAATACAATGTGAATTTCATGTCAAATTATAGGTGTATAATAATGTGTAAATCTAAATTGTATTTGATAATATTACTTGACAAATTGATTCATTTCATTCACAAATCCTATACATTTAATGTCTTTAAGAATGTCTAATTTGTCTGCGTTGCCATAATTCTCATCAGCTTTCTTACTAAAATTTAATCGTTTAGGTTTTAGGTTTGACTTTTTATTTGACAATATTTTTCTTCTGTTTTGACATTTATACCTTTTTTCCAATATTCTTTTTAAAAATTTTTTCCCCACAACTCCTAAAATCATTAAATTTGTATGGTTATAAACATTTACTTGTATCATTAAATTAAAAGAAAAATAATACCTGGGCTCATTTGCGTTGTATTTTTTTTTACTGTTCTCAAATATTGTGATGAATTAAAACTGACAACAGCAGCATAAACACGTGTACTATATGAACTTTTTTGTGTAAAATAAATTCTTTTTCCACCTAGAAATTTATTGATGACACTGTTAAACTGCTCACAAATATTATTGTCCACATCTAATAATAAACTCTTGGCATTGTTTGATAAACGAGACGCAACTGTTTCAATTTCTCGTGAAATAGCCAGTTCTTTTATTTTATCATTTAATTGTATTGACTTTTTATCACAAAAATATGTTGAACAGTTTTCGTGATAATCAAATATTCGATGATTAGGAGCATTAGCAATATCAAATCTAAGGCCTAGAATAGAACAAGTTAAAGTATTTGATAAATTAAGTTATTACTTATTCTATAATATATATAACAGTGGCGTATTTAGGAATTGTTCATGATGGGATTCACATAATATTGGACCCCTTGGAGCCCCCCCCCCCGTAAACACGCTAATTATAGGTAATAAATAATATTATTGATGTACCAGCAATTTTTTGATGTAAAGGCTTATCTTCTGCTTTTCTAAATTTAATAGCACAAGTTATATCTGTTCGCATCCTAATAATATTTTTTGCTATTTTTTTTCGAATTTCAATAGAAAATTCGGTTCTTTTAGTCAAGGACATCATTTTTTGAGAATAGTTGCGTAATAAATGATTTCTACACTCTATTTTTTCAACTCTTAACGCCTGTCCATAGGGAAGTATTTCGTGTAACCTTTTTGTGACACTACTGTCTCCATCACCTAATATTAATAATAAAATTGTCATTATATTATAATTAGGTTAGGTTAGGTTAGGTATTTTTATTTCTTTTATTTCTTACCAATTAATTTAGAGAATTTTACACCATGCATATTTATACTTTGTTTAAACCCTTCTGCTATAAGCATCGGCTTCTATGCTAGTAGCTCCTTGTTTCCAATTCAAAAAACAAACGTGGTCTGGTGTTTTAGTATTTTTGTTTATAGCTCTCTCACATATTACACAATAACGATTGCGTATACCAACGAATAAAATTTTTTTGGTCTGGTAGCCTATTATACTTGCCTAAAAATGTTTAATTTAGTTCAAAATTAAATTTTATCAGGATAATAATTACTTACTACTCCAGAAAAAGCGTCATATTTTGTTTTGTAGCTTCTTTTGGACCACTGTCCATCAGCTACTACGGTTATTAGAGGGACGCCATCTGTATCAACATTACCTAAATCCAAAGCTATTCTTTTTTCTTCTTCACCTGCTTTTTGCATTTCTACCCAAGCTGTTTTTTTTATGTCTTTTTGTAATTCGTTTTCAATACAAGTATATGATTTAGGAGACATTGACGGTATTTCTATTCCAGCACAAAATTCATTTAATTGGGTATAGCCAATACCTATCAAAAAATATTATCATTATACATTTTTTAAAAATAATATTTTGAGATTCTTAGTGGAGCGATATAAATATATTTATTCAGTAATTATGTGTTTTTTTTTTAAATTATTAAAATTATTTTTGGTTAGACATTTATAAAAAATGAATTTAACGGTTGCAAATATTTATATAGTTTCTATTTCTTAGTTTTATATTCTGAATGGAGTCACAAGCACAACAACATAAGAAAATTGCTATATGAGAAATGGAGTGAATAAATAATGTTGTAAACATTTTAAGTTCAAACGCTCATAAAAATTTAATTTGACTTTCCAGTAGACATTGTTTTTTAAGTGAAGGTAGAAAAACTTATAAGGAATCTTGCATTTAATTTCTAAAACTTAGATTTAAAAAGAAATATTTTTTTCTGAATTTCCGACTCAAAATATTTTGCGTATTTTTTAAAAAATTCTAACTTACTATGCTTATAAAAAAAAATGGTACAAGTTTCTCCATAAGTTTTCTTTAAATAGCTATAAACAAAACTCCTGAATAAAACTAAAAACTTGTATGAGCGTTTGAAAGTATTGAACTGATACGAAATCACGTAAAAACTAGGTTTCTCATGTAGTTTAAATAATAATATTTTATCATACTCACCGATAGCTATTGTACTGTTAACAACAGATTTATTTATTGACCACTCAGATGAATTTTTCATAGATTGTATTTTTTGTTTTATGTTACACATTTTGCAAATAAACCAATATTCAGAATAAAATCCTAAACGAATCTCATATAAAAATTCCATGTTCATAAAATTACATCCAAATCCACCATCGTGATTATTATTTTGAATTTGATTGAATAGATACGATATGTCAACAATTCTATTTCCAGATATTTTATTGTGCGTTTCTTCAGTTTCGACAGCTAATTTATGTGATAGTGGAGACATTGTTTTCTCACATGAATTTCCACTGAAATCTTCTCGCATATCTAAATTATTATCATCATCATCGCACAATACATTTTCGATCGGACTTAAAAAAGCTAATACCAGTCATGTAATTATTATTTGCTAATAAATTTACCCTAAATAATAAATTCAGAAACGTATAAAATAATTAATTTATTAAATCTGAATGCCAAAAATATATTTTTACATGAACACGTAGGTACCCACACAGCACTGCAATATTTATTTAACATTAAACCAACATTTAAATTTAAAAGTAAGAAAATTTTTTAGTTGTATCAACATTTAAATTACATTTGATATAAGTTATTAAATGTTAATTAACCGCTATAAAACATTTTTTGAACCAATTTTAATTATTTATAATAAGTTTAAAAACCAAGGTTGTATACAAATTAAAAAACAATAGTTGTTGCAATATTTAAATTAAAAATGTAATCAATATTTTATTGATATTTCTTAATATTTAATTTAGATTAAATAAATGTTGATGGTTTCGAAATTATACATTAATAAATGATTCAAATGTAATATGTGCTATTATAAATATTGCTTCCTAATATTATTATTTATTGACATATAGACGACCAATACAAGATTATGATAAATACACTAGTATATATATTTTTGTATAACACTCTTTAACAATATACTCAACTAAGTGATATAGTAAGAGGGGGAGGCTGTAACCCCCTCTTGGAAGTAAAGTTATTTCAGTTATTTACTTTTTATATTTTTTAATATAATTATATTGTACGTTACTAATTTTTAATAATTAGGTATCTTCATTTTTTAGTTATCTAGTCCTAGATAAAATTTTCATTTTAAAATATATTAAAATCAACGAGAGTGAAAAATACAAGCTTAATGCATACAACAATACTTCTCCACCATGCATCAGAATCACAATTTATATTTTCTTGATAAAAATGAACAAATTCAAAATTTTATCCATAGTGGTAGTCTCTTATATTTTTAATCTATCCAATTTTTTACTGCAGATCATTGCCATACCTGTATTATTAGACTTTTAAACACTGTCTTCACACCAAACCTTTCAATAGATACTTATATAAATATAGTCTATACACTTGAATATAGATTCTAATGGAATAAACAAAAATTTGGATTTGATCAGCCTGAGGAACATTTTAAATAAATAACTTATTTTTTTATGTTATCATTATGAGTAAAAATACTAAAAACACACAAAAACTAAATATTATATAAATACACGTATATTCAATTTTTAAATGGAATTAGGAACAGTGTTTTTTTTAAGTTGTCTTTTCAAGTTAAATGGAGATTGAGCTAAAATGTATTTTATTATATCTTCAACTTCATTGAGTGGAGTAGTTTTGAATTTGATTTGCTTTTTAATTGCATCTAAAAATATATAAAAATATATTTAAGTCAATTTATAATAAATAATATTAAAAATATTGCATGCATATTATATAGATAATTATTATATCATGTTAATTTCATAAATAAATTAAAAAAGTAGTCAATATATTTTTAGGTATCAAAAAACCATATGAAAATCAAATAAACAGAAATTACACACTAATAAGTATATATTTCTAGTAAAATAAATAACAAAAATAGTTCATTTTTGGTATATAATGAATTAATTCAACTTTGATAGGGGTAGTAGAATAACACTACATATATACACTATACTATACTCCAATTCATGAAAGAACTTTGGTGGCTGATTTGAGTGCAGGAGCATTGTTTTGTTTTGTGGGTGGGAGGGTTTGAGGCAACTGGTGTTGCCTAAATACACCATCTGATAAAAATTGGTTGCCACCTAAGTTCCTAGGACTGGAGTTGTATTTAATTGCAAAATAGGTAATTTTATTTGAAAAATATATATTATATATTATATTATAATCAATAACATTTATAATTATTAAATACTCACCAAAAATAACAGAACATATGAATAAACTTGAAAATTTTTTTTTTCCTTTTTTGCCAGTATAGGAGAACTCTGATAACAAACTGTCAGAAAAAAGTTTTGACATAAGTCTTTTGACCACTGATTTTACATTTTTTCCTCCCATATGAGAAAGTTCAATGATCTAAAAATAATAATTAATTGTGCTATTATTAACTTTATTTTAAATACTTAATGCACAAGTAGTACTTATAATTAGCTTAAAACAAAAACTACTTTTATCTGGGACACGTATAATTAAAATAACTTTAACAATTTAATCTATCTTTATCATAGGCACAACTAGGGGGGCTTGGGTGAGCTTAGCCTACCTAGTTTTGTCTATAGCCCACCCAGTTTTATAGCCCCTACGGGTTTGCTGATATCAATTTAGCCTACCCAGAAATAGAGCTCTAGTTGCACCTATGATCTTTATCAATAAACCATAGATAATGAAATAAGTTGGGGTTAACTTACTAATTGATTTTTATAATTTTGATCGCCAGATATCTTGTCTTCAAATGTTTGTAAATCATAGATGTTATCAATTGGTAAAGGACAGTCACTAAAGTCAACGACATTATCAATATCCATAACATTCTTATTCAATGAATTTTGATCAAAATATTTTTCCATTTGGTCAAATTTATCGAGTATTATTGCTTGATTGTTTAAAATTTGTTTCAACTCATATTTTAAAAATGTTATATGTCTTAATAAATGGTTTTGAGATTGCAATAGATCTGAAAAAATGAAATTTAAATAATGATATTGAAAATATGTAATGATTGTTTATTTTAAATTAGATACCATTTTTATTATTATGATCCGTTTCTGTTGGGTTAGGTATAGTATTACGTATAGCCAAACCTTTTTCTTTTGTGGAGCCATTATTGGCTGTAAAAATAATTGTTTATTATAATATCATATAACAGTTAAATTAAATAATAAAACTATATCTTACTATTTTGTCCTATTGGTCTATTCAAAAATACTTCGTCCAGATTATCATTTTCAGTGTCTGTAAACACAAATATTGAAACATTAAATATTAAAATTGATTTGATTCATTTAAATTAGCATATTATTATTAATTTCATTAGCCCAATGTCCACTAAAATTTGTTTATTTAAATCATTTTCAAAACTATTAAGTATTAATATTAAAGTATTCTAGACTATTGATAACTAAAAATACTTGATATTCAAAATTAAATTTAACCGTTAAATATTTTATCATTGAAGGTATTGTGGATGTTTACTTTTTGTAAAATACTAAAAAATAAAATAAATAGTACAATTGACTTACCATCATTTAAAATGTCACGTTCATCATCTGATTTATTGTCAAATAAAATTTTTCTTGATACTGGATTTTTAATACCTATAAAAATATACATATATAATTATAAATTATACTATTTATACCAACAACATTATTGGTCCATACTTCAAAACTACATTTAAAATAAAACTTACCACTATTTTTTTTTTTTAGTGCACTGCTTGCAGTTTGTTCGCTATCATCTTGGTTAAATTGAAACTGTTTATTGCTTGAAACTTTAAGAACTACAGACATAGAATTTAAAATGTAGGAATTGAATCACTATTGTATTCAAAATAAACAATATTAAATATTTACCTTCTCGGGATGTTGATTTCAATGACAATTTAGAATTTAACGTAATTGGTTGACTTTTTGCCACTAAATCAATACAAATTTGATTTAAATTATACATTTTGACATATTATAACATAATAATGTGCTTTACATTACAATATATTATTTTTATGATTTTTAAATAAATTAAACTACTCATCTGTGTACATAGTTTTAATATTACACATAATTACTTACGTTTCAATTTCTGAGGAGAAGGTGACCAGCCTTTTTTTTTAGGAGATGACCAACTCTTTTTTTCCTGAGGAGAAAGTGACCAGCGTATCTTTTTCTGAGATGTACTAATTTTATCTATTTTTGTGTAATGAGATTGATGTTGGTCTTCATTTTCAAAATCTACTAATTTGCATTGTTTATTAATTACAAAAATCAGATATTAGAAGTTTAAATTTTGAAAAAAAAAACAAATACTATAAACTTAAAATAACATTTCCTATACACAAAAAAAAATTAATAATTATCTATAATACTAATTCAATACCTTCAAATAGAGGCATAGAAGAATTAGATAATGTCGGAGAATACTGGTTATTAGAAGCTTTATCAATAAATGATTCATCAGCAGAAAAATCTGATCTATATCTAGCTTCTTCAGCCAATTTCCTTGCATGTTCGAGAGTTTCTATACATTTAAAAACAATTCATAACATAATTGTTAAAAATGTATTTTAATATATTGAAGACTATTCCTTACATAAAAAATACTATTTTAACTTACTTATGCCTCTAGAAAGTACTCTAGCTTTTAGAAGTTTAAATTCTTTTTCGTTTACTCCCATTTTTTTTTCTATAAACTTTTTTATGAAAAGATTATTTTTGGGCCAGGCACAAAACTTGCCTTTTATCCAAAATGATGGAATTGCTTCAACTGTTTCATCATCGAAAAAATGAACAATAGAATAGGATGTATCCATTTTAGGTCTATGAGAAAAAATAATAATTTTTAAATAGCTTTTGTTTAGCCTGTATTATACATTTACATTAATGTAGATTTGTTATCCTGCAATTATATAATAGCATAATATAGGAAACAGTCAATAACATAAGAGCTTAAAAATAGTTTTAAAAAAATCCATGTCACAATCATTTATCTATAAGTAGGAAATAAATTACAAAAATATATAAAAACAAATACATTTAGTATAATAAATTATATGTATAATAGGTAGTTAAACCAAAATAATTTGTAGAATAAAAATATATAAATATGGATTACTATAAGTACAAGTAACAATCTTGAATGAATCATTTAAAATATTAAGACTTATTGTCATCTTGTTAATTAACTAAGATCCTTTGTTGTCAATGTTTCAGATCAATAAAAAAAAAATAATAATAATAATAATAATAATAATAATAATAATAATAATTGACATTTAATTTATCAATTTGTATTACAATGTAATATTGGGTAAGCAATTGATACACCTTCATTATTACGCAATATCATATACTTTTTAAATTTAGTTTGAACATCAACCATTTCAAAATTTTTTGATGGATTTTCTACAATAGCAATTCCTAATTTAAAACTATTAATTGGTTTATCAAAAAACATTTCAATTTTTTCAAATGCTTTAACAATAAACATTATATTCTCATTATTATCATTGAATTTTTTGCATATATTATAGATTTTACAAATGATTAGTTTTCCCTGTAGTTCGTAACCTATATAGCAATCAGAATTTGATGTTGTAACTATTTTTAAGTTATTTATCATAATACATTTAAATTGTGACCAGCCAGTACAGTGTTCAACTATAGGTCCATAATGATGTTCTTTCATTATATATATTTGATTATTTGATTTAATAAGGGTGGGTTTGCAAAATTCTGAAATTTCTTTATATCGTTTAATTACTTGTTCTAGAGGTTTTTCGTGTTTTCGGATCATTTTTTTAAGGAATTTCATGTAATTTTCAAAAGGGAAGCAAGAACACCTATCAAGGGGGCCAAATTTTCTATAGTCGTCAATAATATGAAGTAACCCATGTATGTTGTGAGAATTGAATTCTGCTCCATATAATTTTTCATATTTATCAACAAAGTAAACCATTAATTTCTCACTAAAATCAATTAATTCTTTACTGATACCTGGAGTTAACAAAATTCTGAAGCATACATGCAAACATAAAAAATGTTTAAAAACTTCATCTTTCATAACACCTTGTAAAGCTATTGGCCCAGTATAAAGTAAAAAAAGTCTAAATTCAGTAGCTTTCCATCTAGACACATCAGAAAAGGATCTGGGATATCTTGAAAAATCATTAGTAATGAATGGTCTAAGCGACAAATGATTAGAAGAAATAACATGCACACTTCTAGATTGTAGGCGCACTGATAAAGGGGCATTTTTCAAATTACCTAACCATAATAAAATAAGTTTTTTTACAACTCCTAAACACACTAGATGCATGTAGTCTAAACTGAAGTTGTAAACCATGTCAATATGTGGTACATTGGTTAATATTGAAATTGAATCAGTTACATGATGTTCTTCGTGTGTACGATTTATAAAGTCTGTATGTGTTTTTTTAATAAACTGTGTTCCTGGGAAACAAGTTCTACTTCCAATACGAACACCATCAATAAAACACCTTGAACATGAGGCAAACAATGTATGACCTTTAGTTTTTAGAATAAAACTTTTTGCTGGAACATCACAACAAATGCAATTCACAGTAACAAACTTTTTACCATAAGGTGTAGATATACCTATAGTTGACAATTCCTTTAATTCATTTACCAAATCATTCAAATATGAATTACTATCTAAAGGTTTTTCTAATCCCCAGTACAGTCCAATTAAAAAAACATATGTAGATGATGATACATTTTCAATACTACCAAGGATTGGCCAAAATGTGCTTCCCGAACTTTTGCTAATAGGTAAACCATCAATTCCTATATTGATATTTATTGTGTCTTCAGAAATATTTAAAAACTTACTTATTTTGTTTAGCTCATTAGAAATACCAAAATGATAATAATTTCCAGGGTGAACTAATTGAATATGCGTAGAATTATTATTTGAATTAGTTTTTAAAATTGTACGAGCATCAATTGGAATTTTATCAAAACATTTATGTGATTTTAGGCACTTTAATAATGCTGATAAGGCAACATTTGTAATATTATGGCTGACTGCCCATTGAGCTAAAGCTTTTAACATTGATTCAGCATCACTATTATAAAAATTAAAACCTGAATACTCAAACTCTATATTATCTAATACTTCTTCGGTAGTACTATCTATATCACTATCAGATGGACTATCCAGTAATTCATATTCATCGGAAATATATAAATCATCAGTATCATTACAAGAACTAGGTTTAAGTATAATTGACTGTGAATGATCATTTGTGTGTGATATGTTAACGTGAGATGAGGTAGATGCTACGGATAAAACTTCTGAAAGTATTTGACTCTCTGTGGAACTATCTCTAAAAAGATCAACTACACCAACCTCTTCAATAAATCTCCTTCGTTTTGTTGACTTACTAAAATGTTGTCTAGTATGATCCATATTTATAAAAATTAATTTAATATTTTAGAACTTTAAATTATAAGATAGGTAAAATTATTTAGATACGTACATAAAATATTAATTAGGTAGGTAAGTATATAGGTTATATAAATAAAGATACCATTATACCAATATATTATATTAAAAACCAGAATATTTGATAATAAATTATGAATAATAGTTTATAAAATAGTTAAGTACTATATACCATTATACCTATTATACATACAAATAAAATAAAAATATTCAACAAATACGGAGATTGGCTAATTTATTATTTTATAAAAATAAACAAATTATTTTATAAAAATTAGATAAGCTACTTAGAAATTAAATATCAGAACTATAAAGGTATACTTACCCGTGTACGTCGTGGTTGCGTAGCTGTGCCTGTGACTTGACGATTGTAACAATAATGTGACTTGGAGACTTTTGACTTGACGAGTGTAACAATAATGTGACATGTGCGTCAATAGTTCAGAAGTCAGTACTGTTGACTGGTCTACAAAATAATGAGGCAATGAGGCATGAGCTGAGAGAGTGAGAGCTCTGTCTGTAGGACTGTAGGAGTGATAATAATATATTATTATGTGTATTGATGTAAAAGCACAGTCTATTATTATTTATTATTATAGTTATTAGTTGGGTATTTTATTATATCAGTTAATCGGCTAATCGGTATTCCAACGCAACGATATTATAGTCGTATTACGTAATTTCCAAATAAAAATAATAATTTTGTGACAAAACATAAAAATAGATTTCGTCTATTCAATATTGAACATAACAAAATGTAACATCGTCGTCAGTTCGTCACCGTGACACCGTAACTGATTATTGTGCAGAAATAAATCGTATTATTTTGAAATGTAATAATTTGATGGTATTAATACAGGGAATAAAACAAACACGCGCGATTACGATGTATCTGTGTGTGTGTATAGTGTGTACTGCTGTCTGCTGTCTGCATTATACTTTATACAATAATATTAATATAAATAATATAATATATAAATGTGTCGGTCCAATGCCGAGCGCTATAATAATGATATAATATCATGGTCTTTCCAATATTATAATAATAATAATATACGCTTGCTAAAGCGATAACTTACTCTGCGATAAAGGGGGTACCTAGACGTTATTATATATTTTAATACAATATTTTAATATATTATATTATTATATTATTAAGTATGCAACTCTTTGAATAATTTTAGAAAACTTCGAACCTTTTGTTTTCACCTACAAGAAATTACAAAATTGCTGCCTAGTGCAGCCTTATCCCCTTTGCTTCCCATAATAAAGTTTATTATATATAGATTTATATTTATAGGCTTATTATTATTAATATAATAATTATGAACATAATATATATAAATACTAGATTCCGGCGTTTGTCATCCCGCCTGCGGCGGAAAGACTGTGTGGGCGGTGAGTAGTATAATAGCATCTTGAGTACTTAATCAAAAGACCGCGACGGCCATGCTGGGTTTTTTGATCCGGCCTACGGCGGGAACGCGGGGTCGTCGGGTATTGTGTTTTGTCGTGTTGNATATAATATATATAAATATTATAATATAATATATATATTAACGCCGCATATGATATGTATATATTATATATAATTTAATATTATATTTAAATTGAATATTAAATATTTAATTTTCAATGAACACAAAATTAAAATTAAACAATTAGTATAAATATAAAGTTAATGTTTGATTTTCAAAATTGAATAAAAATTAATCTTAGTAAGTTAATAAATGTTAAATATTAAGAATTATACAATTTAAAATTTGTATTAATATTTAAATATTTTTTATCTAAAATTAATTAAGTATTATTCAATATTTCAATTATAACATAAAAATAGATCCACTCGGAATCTTAAATTAAATAATTATACAACGTTGGATAAAGTTTTAATTTTAAATATTTAAATTCCAATCAAAGTAAAACATTAATACAATCGTTATGATTGACAAATGCTGTGTGGGTATGTATAATACGTGATTACTGATTAGTGACCTACATTGGAGATGAGTGAACGTACGTGCTAACGTACTGTGTTGATGATGTACTTGGTTGACAGTCAATAATATTGAAGTTACCATTTTCATTTGGTGCTAAAACTTCATGAGTATTTTCTTCCTCTTCATAGATACATTGTTTTGAGCTAAATATTTATACAATAACACTTACAAAATACGTATAGTAAAATCCTATCTAAGTATTCGTTATTGATAAAATAAAATAAGTAGGTAGACAGTGGAGTGTTATATTTTAAAACTAGGAATATACGAACTTACTTATTAGTTTTACTGTAACGTCGATGTACAAGTGATTTTCCAGTTAGCCGTTTATTGTTGGTATTTTTATTTTTTTTGTTTTTTTTATTTGCCATACTTAAAAAAAACGATGAACAAAACAGTAAAATAAATAGCTGGTTACACACGGAGCGATGCGTACCTACGTGATTTTCGTAAAACTGTAATCACGATTAAAGATATATCTCGTGTGAGGACTCGTGTGTGTAATGGTTTCGATAAAATAAAATATAGTTATTATTGTTATGTCGCCGTTATCGATAATTGTAAAATTATTTATAGATTGTCGCTGGAGGTGCGTACTAGACAAAAACTGGTCATACACTTGGAGGCGGTAGTTTTTGCGGGTCGGGGGTAACGAACGTTATCGAACGCTGCCGTAATAGGAAAGGGGCAGAACTAGTCGATAGTAAATAATGCGATTTTCTTATAAAACATGTTTTGCGTGTTCAAAGATTATAGATTTCTGAGTGGTTTTATTGTTAAAACACCTATGAACAAAATTAAAGAGAACAATATTGTTGAGGGCCCCACGTAGTAATTTTTTTGTATTCCAAATTTAAGGCCCATTACAACGTTAAGAAGTATCGACTTTTAAACATTTTCAAATGACTATAACTTTTCATAAAATAAAGTTTTTGAAAAAAGGCTACGTGGGGCCCTCAATAATATTGTTATCTTTAATTTTGATAATAGGTGTTGTTGTCCTAAAACCTTCTTGGAGTGATTAATTTGAAATCTAAACGAGGATGTTTTTGATACCAAAAACGCCGGTACTACGTCCTCGGTCCTCTTAAGCACCCCTGGTAACGGTTCCCGCAGTTGCCTGAACCTTCACTCATCGTAATATTTTATGAAAGTAGTAAATACTTATATGGTAATATCGTATTCGTTCTGGCGACGTTCGGTGTTGAGTGTCGACATGTGTTCTCGCTGCCGCGCCGTAAAATATAATAACCGCGTGTTATTTGTTGTATTGCAACTACACAATATATTGAATAGATGTTTTATAATTTGTTTTCATTTTATTAAAATGGATTCTTAAGTGTATCAACAGAAAATATCATGGCCCATCTATGAATGAAGCCCATTATACATGTATAATTTTACATCAAAATAAATGGCTACGATGTAATGACACTTCAATACATTTTGAACGAAGGCCTCGGTGGGGTAAAGATGTGTATATCATAATAATGCAAAAACAATTGAATATGATAATAAATAAAAACCTGAAAAATCTGCAAATCATATTACATGCTGGTATATAAATGTTACAAAAAAACTAATGATATCCCAACAAAAACACTTCGTGTAAGTCCGTGTACAAAATTGCTAAGCAACAAAAAAATAGTTATTCCTAAAACTTCAGCTGTGTAAAGATGTGATATCGTTAATAAATGCTAAGAAAATTAAATTTCAAATATATTTATTTCATCTCAATAATTTATTTACTTTGCTCGAATTTATTTCGACCAATTAACATGTGCGTTCATAACTGGACTATTTAACAAGTGTCCATTACGAGAAAAAGAGCCAAATAATTATAAATATAACAGGGCAACTACATTAAAATAATTAATTTGGTTACCAGGACTTACGAGGTATAATAATAACATGCTGATTTAAAAAAAAAAATAGAATACAAAAAACGGTTGGTAAGTGGGTGGTCGCTCTGCTGTACAGTATGTTACAAGTGAGTCACTGTAAAGGATTGTGTTAAATTTGAATCCAATGATTTAACATCATTGTATAAGAAAAACGATTCTGAGCGAAGTATACTTGATGATATTATTGTTAATAAAGTTATTAATATATTATAAACTATTTACGTGGAACCTTGTTTTAAATTTTCAATCCTTAGCTATAAAAGTTGAACATTTTTTAAGTTTTTAACTACCAAATAATTTTAAATTTTAAATTTGATAAATTCTGTCAAAATTCAAACTTTAAATGCTTATAAAAAAAATTTGTGCCTATGCATTTTTAATATTTTTCAATCGCTATTGTAACAATATATTAGGAGCCTTGTATTCATTTTTCATGCGTTCTGGCCGACCAAATATAATTGTATTGCCCTATATAAAAAAAATCTAAAAAAATTGTAAACCGAAAATGTCAAAACAAGTCAAAATATTTTGTAAATTTTATCGTGTATAGAAAATGCTAATATAAACTACCAGTGAAAATCTCATGCATATAAATTTTACGATATAAACTATACGTTGATTAAGATCTATATGCTACGTGGCTGGGGGGTGTACTTTGGACGGCTTTTTTGGTAAGATCTTCAAAAATAATATTTTCAAAACCATTTTAAATCGAAAGGGCATTGAAAAAAGATTCAAAAATGTACTACCCGAGTGCGGCACGCGGTGGACTTGGGCTCCAGAAAAATTATACGGTATAAACTATATGATATTTATGAGTTTACGGACAAATCGGCTGCGTGGTGTATTTTGGAATTCTTTTTGAGAATATAGATATTATATGCATTGTGATTGTGTCTACTATCTAGAACCTATTTTGATTTTGAAAAAAAAACCTCAGACTGGACAGGGCTTTTTTTCAAAATCTTATGCACTTGCCTTAAAAAAATATGTTGGGCAGGGCCATGCTTGAGGATAAAATTGATGGACCGGACCGAGCCGACAATTTATGGCCCTTGTAGGTCTTTACTATCTATATTATGAGGAACCAATATGGCTATAATAATATTTAATTATTTATCTAGGTACTTAAAACTGATGGAGTAGATGCAACAACCAGATATATCCATAATATGAAAATGTTGAGGAGAGAATAAAAACTATTTTTAAAAATAAATAATAGATGCCAATAAATTAATAATAGCCATGCTGAAAAGTTAAGGAACATAATATTATCGTGTAATAATTCTTAAAATTTCACATAAGTTATGTAACTAATTAATCAAAACCTTAGTCAAAAAATAAAATTGTTTAAATGTTTTAATTTTAAATTTTAAATGTCTTATAAAATATAAGTAATGTAAAATTTCAAAATACTTACACGTATAATATTTTATTTTATAGGTAGGCGCAGGTTAAAGAAAAGAGAATGTATTTACTAAATTTTACCAACTGTAAAAACCAAGACTCTAAAGGCGTTCAACTATTTGTTGTACGGCCTTTTATAGACTTTGACTAGGTCACTCTCTCTTCTCTTTGTATTGACGTAGGTGTACGTGGAGCTAGACTGTAAGACAGCTCATTGGTCGACAGTCTGCACAAAATATCAGATATAATTATATGAAGACTAATGAGCGTATATTATAGAACTTATTGGAAAATACCCAAGATCATATACACTGGATGACAGAGAAGATATGTCTTACATACTTAGCCACAAGTTAAGTCAAGATCATATCGAAATTTTTTTTAGCGCGGTGCGAAGCCGCGGTGGTTTCAATAATAATCCCAATGCTGTGCAGTTGCGGGCAGCTTATAAACTACCTTAATACGACATGAAATACAAGGGTCAATTAATGGAAACTGCTTATTACTTGATAATTGTAGCATATTATCTGTTGGAACAAGTAAGCATAAAGATGCCAATGCAATAGTCACTAATAATAATAATGAGTTAAATGACAAACCTTTTTTTGATGATTTTGACCACGATTATTATTCCCAACAATTATTGTGTATGGAGGAATAATATGTTGTGGATATAGCCAAATATACAAGTGGTTTTATAGTCAGGAAAATCAAAATTATGAAAAATATATGTGGTATATGTAATCCTCAACTTATAGAGACTGAAAATGAGGAAACTTCCTCACTTTAAAATTAAAAAACCGTGGAATGTTATTAAATGCATCAAAAAGTGTAAGAAATATATGTAAAACTGCAGAATGTATTTTTAGAATGGAACACAGTAATATCTTAACCCTTCAATGCGCGATTTTTTGAATTTAAAAAAAAAAAATGTACCTTTTGTATTTTTTGACGTAGGAAACAGAAAAAACACTTAAAAAATTCTAGCTATTATATTTTCTTGGAAAACCAAGATTTTCAGATTGTTGCAAATATGCAACATTGCGCGTAAATACATACATACATACATACATAAATAACAATATATAATAATTCCACATAATCATACTTTATTTATGTTTTTCTTTTGCATTTTGTTGACAATTTTATTTATTGATTATAAAAACCTTATCTTTAAGTTAATAGTACCTATTTATCACAATAAAATCACTTTTTAGTAATAATATAACCTTACCTTTAAGTTATTATTTATTACAATATCACTTTACTTAGATACAATTTTAATATACTTAGGTATAATACATTTTATTTTATAATATGATAATCGGTAAAACAAACACGTTTTGATGTTACACATAAATAGACATTGCATTTACTGCACTGAAAGTTTGTGTAGCCTTTGCAATTTGGAAACTTGCAACGTCCTTTTTTTTCGATGTGATTTATATAATGTCCAATGTTGTCAGTTCTGATATCTTGAGTAGGACGTGGTGTTGGTCTGGTTCTGTTTTGTTTTTTTAGATTGCTTTCTAATGACGGACGACCTCTAGTTGGTGTTTGTACAAAACCTATTCTCGTTAGAGTATATGCTAAACTTTTTCGCCAGTCAACAAGTATATATTTGCTAAGTTTTCCTAACTGAGATTGGGTTCTTTTATATAGGAGCCATGAATTAACAACAGATGTATCGATCAAATGATAAAAAATTCGCATAAACCACTTTCTTGATCTCATACGAACTTTATAACGGCCAATAAGACTATCTAAAAGATCAACTCCTCCCATAAACCTATTGTATTCTTTAACTACGGTAGGGCAATCAATATTAATTTTTTTTTTCAATTTTTTATCAAATCTATTGGCAGTCAGCATCGGTAATGATCCACAGTAAGTTGATAATAAGTTAACTTGCTTATTATCTTTCCACGAAGTTACAGACATAGGCGTATTTTCATAAACTGTCAAATACTCATACGATTTTCCACGGNCTGACGAGTAAAAATAATCGTAAACAATTAATTTTTCAAAGTATCGCATTAATGTATCTAGTATCTTTCGATTAAATTAATTCAAGAAATACTCGATACATTGACTAAAAATGTATCGCGATACAAGATACTCGATACTTCACATAATTGTATCGAGATACAAGATACAAGATACAAATGTATCTAAGATACGTATCTTAGATACTTGTATCGAAGATACTGCCCAACCCTGGTTAGGTAATCGGTCTTTTCGTACTATCCCTAGACACAAAATTCCATTTTGGTGTAAATACGAAGCTAATGGAATACTAGTATAGAAATTGTCAAAATATATTCGATGATTTTTATGGTGTGGAATATTTCTAGTAAGACGTACAACTATGTTAGAACTAGCACCAAGATCTGGCTCGTTTAGTAATCGAAATCGTTGATCATTTTCTTGGCCCGAATAAATTTCGAATTGGTACGAAAATCCTTTTGAGTCACACAATACAAAAAATTCAAAACCCCATTTATGGGGTTTAGCAGGCATATACTTTTTTAAATAACTTCTCGCTTTTGTAGCACAAAGCTGTTCATCAAGTGATAAGTCTCTTGGGTAAGGAATCGAGTTGAATTTATTGTTTAAATGATCAATGAGGGGACGTATTTTATACAATCTATCATAATGTATATCTTCTTTTTCTAACATTTTATTGTTGTCGTTAAAATGAATAAATCTACGTATTTCTTCAAATCTTTTTTGACTTAAAGAATTATAAACGTGAGAAAGGCCTAAATGTTCACTCCAATAGTCTCGAACGTTTGGAACTACACAAACTGAATTATACATCAGAATACCAATATACCTTTTGAGCTCATCTATAGTTACTGAAAATTTTTTATTGATATCTATCTGCGCAGCAAAAAGCTCACTTTCAGATTTTATTTTAGTAAAAAGTTCTTCATTAAAAAAATACGTAAAGAACTGATACGGCGTTTAAAACTCCAAAATCTTATTAGGTAGTAAACTTTCATCGTGGGCTATTAGTTGAGGTTCATAAATTAAATTACCTTTTTTCCATTTTAAATTTTTAAATTCTTCAGTTTTTTGTTTTATTGGTATACGATTTTGTACTAACGTGCTTTCTATCGGTTTATGAGAAAATTTGGGCCGAAGAGTTTTATATCTAGCTGATTGAATAACAGAAGGATTTGGACAGGTGGTCATTTCGTATTTATTATTTTTAGATGTATCTAAATAAGTATTCGAAGAAGAGGGACCTGGTTCATAAATGTTTAACGCCAGTACTTCATTATTAAATAATTTTGGTTGATTGATAACAGAACATTCATTGTTTGGAATAGTTATATACTCACCTTCGTCTTCAAATATAACTGGTAAACTATTAATATCAAGATTAATATCAGGATCAATATTTTCGTAATTTTCAGTTTCATACATAAACATTTCATTCTCGTCATCAGAACATTCAACATCGTCATCGCTTTCATCCCAATTCGCCACTAAACGACCAATTTCAATATCACTCAAAAACTTACTCATAATAAAAACAGCTCGTGCGCGATGTTGCAAATACGCAACAATTCTAAATATTACGAAAAATTAATTGCGAAACGGTAATATTGCATGGCCCGATTACAATATACGTAACTAACAATATAAAACAATTTTTTTTTATTGTAATATCATTAAATTAACGGAGATATAACGATATCAAAATCACTATCACACGTAAATAGCGGGAAACAGGTGTTATCATTTTTAACCAATAAATACAGTTGATAAAGGGACTATCAGGCGTTAAACTTTTTTTCGTCGCATAGAATAGTTGTATATCTATCCGCTAGATGTCAATAGTATCGTAAAATATTAAAAATGATGTCACGAAAAATGAAAAAAAGATTGTTGCAAATAAGCAACACTACGCATTGAAGGGTTAACTAATAAAACTATTTTGAACAAAATATGTTTGAAAACAATGAACGAGATTGGGCAAGATTCTTCAATTTTCAATTCTGACACGATGATAAATCATATTAAAAATCAAGACATTTTTGATAACCATAGAAATCAATTAATGCAACTAATCACAGAGTACTATACAAGATTAAGATTACATCATTTTAGTAGGATGCACACATTAAAAATTAAAGGAAATAACACCAGAAGAAAATTTTCAAAATTAATATTATTTAAAAACCAATGAAAAATATTTTAAGCTGTATTATACTTTTCGTAAAAATGATGTAAACAATTGTATTTTACTATTTAAGTATAATTTAACATTTTAAATTGTAACAATTAAATAATACCTAGGTATATAAAAAATAAAAGTAAGTTTGTCGTGTGTGTAACATTTAATTTTTTTTTAATTTCAAAATTTGTTAAGAAATATCAGTATTCAGACATTCAGTACCTACCGACGAAAAGTAGGACGCGATCGCCACGCGCCTAACGGCCGTTTTTCGTAAATACAGCGGTTCTACGTTTGGGAGTACTATAATTATTATTATTTTTTTTTTTTACTATAAACGTTTGTACATTACACGATTTGAAATTATATTAGGCGGGAAAACGTTTGGAGACCCATGCCGTAAAACGGCCGGTAGGCGCGTGACGATCGCGGCCTACTTTTCGTCGACCGCACTATAATCGTCCTAATCACTATAACACATTGTTCCTTCCCCGTCCCGCGCGATCTATTTCATTAGCCCCCTTTAGACGTAAGCGATTTTGGGCGCGCTTGGAATGGACGCGCCTGGAGCGCGATTTTTGAAACGTTCTTCACGCGTGACGCGCCAAAACTGTGTTTCCAACAACTAGCACACGCCAATCATGCGTGCTTTACCTATCCTTTTGCACCTAGGTACCAAGAGCGTCCGTGTAAAGGATAAAACTCTGTGTTTTCACGCGCGATTGGAATTGCGCGTGGCGTGTGTGTATTTTACACAGTTTTCGCGGGATTTTCTTACCAAACCTCATGTTTCTTTGCAGTCACTGCTGTTATGTCCAGGTGTTCAGTTGTGTAGAACGTTTCATACTGTACCTACTTATATTTCTTATTTTTATAGGTTATAAATTATAGTTATAGTTATAATCGGTTATAAACATGTTAAAATTAAAGCAGAAAAAAATTGCTATTTGCTGTATGGGTTTACAAGTATATTTGAATTCCTTAAACAAAAAAAAACGTTCCAAGTGGGTTAAAACCTGGAAGTTAAACTGCGAAAAATACAGTGACATGGTTTTATTACGCGAACTTCGTCAAAATGATCCGGACGATTTTAAAAACTACTTAAGACTGGACAGTGAAGATTTTGATTACTTATTGAAGATAGTAGGTCCAGCAATAAAAAAGCAAGACACAGTTATGCGCGAATCTATTACTTCAGAAGAACGGTTAGTTGCTACATTGCGATTTTTAGCAACAGGGAGGTCATATGAAGACCTAAAGTTCAGTACGAGAATATCTGCACCCAGCCTTTCGATTATAATACCGGAGACGTGTAAAGCAATTTATGAAGCACTTAGAGCAAACTATATGAAGGTAAAACAGTTTACATTTTAATTAAAATGCATGTTAAAATCAAATCCAAAAATAATAAAATACTTCCTTGTGTACATTTAAAATTTTGTTATTTAAAGAATTGCAATGTCTTTTTGCAAATAATAAAAATAATAATAAGTAATAATAATCATTAATAATATTAATAATACATTTTAAATTTTGTTATTTAAAGAACTGCAATGTCTTTTTGCATATAATAAAAAGAATAATAACAAATAATAATCAGTAAGCAAAATTACAATAAGGTCCTAAGAACTATTTAAGGATGAGTTTACATTACCAACAGATGTTGTCGGATGAGAATAGTTGTAAGGTGAATTCGTATTAATAGGCGAATAGTTTAAAGGAGGTGGATGCATCTGACTAGGATAATTTATTTGAGCCATGGCCATATCAGATGTAGGGTTTTGTAATTGGCTGTGATATATTTCATCATTCTGGATAGATTCTACCGGCTCATAAATATCAGTGGCAGGTGTTAATGTTCCCAACAAACCTTTAGCTAGAATCTTGTTAATGAGAAGGTCAGCATAAATACTTTGTTTATTTTCCATATTTTTTAACTTGTTAGTTACGTTAATTCCAACTGCATCATATTCGTCTATTTCCGTATTTTTACTCAGTGCCTGAGTACATGCCATCATAAATTCATCCACAGTGCGTTTTTTTTAATTGGTGTTTAGTTTCTGGGGTTGTGAAACAGGGAAAAACTTGGAAGTTGCCGGTTGATCAACGATCTTTTCTAGATTTGTAGTGCTATCTTCCAACTCTGGCACCTAAATAAAATTATTATGTAGAATACCTAACACATATTATATAGTACGTATACAGTGTGTAATACTTATATAGATTTTAATAATAATTGTTATAATTATAATTTATTTTGTCTTATGCGCAAGAGAACTGATAAACTTTTTTTTATTACTAGCTGACAAAGATAGCTGGGGTAACCATCATTCAAATTTTATATTTGTATTTATATTAAAAAATTAAGAAAAATGGAAATATTCACGTAAAACAGGTTTTTTGGTTTTTGGTGTAACTCTAAAACAAATGACCGTAGATACATTCAATTTTGACTGAATGTTTATATTAACATTTTCTATATACCCTAACAATTTCAAAATATTTTAATCTATTTTGAGCGGTTTACGGACATTGTCAGTTTTAAATTTTTTTCTATAACTGTTAATTAAATTTGTGGGGCCAATAAAAGCGTGACAATTTAATACAAGGCTCCTGATAAATTATATAAGTTATTACAATAGCAGTTAAAAATGTTAAAAATAAATAGTCACAATTTTTTTTTATAAACATTTAAAGTTTGAGTTTTGACAAAATTTATCAAATTTTAAATTGTATTATTATTTTGTAGTTAAAAAATTTATAAATATTCAATTTTTATATCTAATGATTGATAATTGAATACAAGTTTTCTCATAAATATGTCAACATTTAAAAAAAATATCACCGGAAAGTTAAATAAAATTTTTAGGAGCGTTTGAAGTTTCCTTTATAATTCCTAACAGTTTATCGAATAATAAAAACTATACAAATTCTGTTCAAGTACTTACTTAATTAAAATTTTAATAGTTTCAAAATTTTTTTTTTTTTAAATAGTTCCCTTCAAATTCGGATGATTGGACAAATATTGCCACTGATTTTCAAAATCAATGGCAATTTGTCAATTGCGGTGGTGCAATCGACGGCAAGCATATACGAATTGTTCAGCCCCCAAAATCAGGCGCTCAATTTTATAACTATAAAGGATTTTATAGCATTGTATTGAAGGCTATTGTTAACAGCAATTATGAATTTATATATGTGGATGTAGGCAAAAACGGAAGAGTATCGGATGGTGGAATAATTGAAACTACATTATTTCACGATTTATTAATCCAAGGAAAATTATGCCTCCCCCAAAACAATGATACTGTAAAAAATCTAAATTACGTTTTTCTCGCAGATGAAGCTTTTTCCTTGCATGAAAATATTTTAAAACCATACTCTCAAAGAGAATTGACATACGAAAAACGAATTTTTAATTATCGGTTGTCAAGGGCTAGGAATTGTGTGGAGAATGCATTTGGCTTGATTTCCGCAAGATTTAGGATATTGCAAAGTGCTATACATTTAGCACCAGAAAAAGCTATTCACATAGTATTAGCTATATGCGTTTTGCATAATTTTTTAAGAAAACGCGGGGGCTCGTACATTTCAAGTTCTACATTTGACAGAGAAGATGGCCATAGTATTTTAAAAAATGGTGAATGGAGAGATACCAATACTGAATTACAAGGATTACAATCTTTACGTAATGCATCTGTGTCAATGCTTGCAAAAGTAAACCGTGAAAATTATAAAGATTTTTTTAACAACGAAGGTTCTGTGGAATGGCAAGACGATATTTTGAAAGCAGGAAGAGCCTAATATGAAAGGACATATTTTTTAGATTTAAACTTATAATTTTTATACAGATAAAATAATTAATAATAATTTTCCTAAGTGTATAATTTGTATAAGTGTACCAATATTAATATTAATTGTTTTATAGGTTCATTAATTAATTAATTAATACAATACAATGTCCAAGATACAAAAATTACAGTTGAAATTAAAATATAATTATTAGGTATTATTATTAATATTACGTAATCATCATATTTTTTAAAACAATTACCAATAATTAAAATGTATTAAGGTATGACAATTTTTAAGAACGCATAGCCCATAGCCCATAGGTAATATTTATATTAAAATTATATACAACTATTGATTATATTATGTAATTTAATTACATTATGTTTCTTTGCTAAATAATTTATATAGTCAAGGAACATTAAAAATAAATAAAATGTAAATACTTACATCGTTTTCATTGTTCTGGTCTAAACTTGTCTCTTCAGGGAAACTTTCGGAAATGTTGCATAAACTTGGAGATGGTGTTTCTTGGTCGATGGTGAACAGTAATAAA